AACATCTCAGAAGGTAGGGTAGTAAATTCGTCTCTCTGCAAGGCACTCAGGCCTTTTCAGCTGGCTTGTAGGCAGCTCTGCTGTAACATCACTCACTGTGGTCCTCCCCAATTTTCCTGATGACCAAATTGCTACATGCACGCCACCCTTTATCCTTTGATTGAGTTTTCATCCTAAAAATGGCACCTGGGCCAAATTCACAGAGAGCTGCTTAGACGCAAGGGCACTGCCCTTAGTGGCAAGGGCAAAACATTCTTTCCACTGGCACGGGTGTCTTCCTCTTAGAAACCTCCCTGTTTTAGGCTCTGAGCTTTGCCCACTGTGAGGACCCTTCACCTTCCAGGAACTGGACAGAGGCTTGAAGACCAGCCTCTGGCGGGACATGGAGAAGTATACTTTTTTTTTTTAATGTTGTAAAAATATATGTAACACAACATTTGCCAATTCAATATTTTTCAGGTGTACAATATAGTGATATCAATTACATTAATCATGTTGTGCAACCATCACCATTAATTGTTGCCAAATTTTCCATCACCATAAACAGAAACTCATTGGAGAAGCACACTTTCTTTTTTTTTTTTTTAAAAAAAAAAGATGATTTCAAGGGATAGTTTCGGTTAACGCTTAGGGTTTAAAGATTTCCACAGGGGATCATCCAGCCTCAACGGCTTCAGAAAGTCTGGATCCCGTGATAATTTGAAGTTCTGTTCCATATTCCCTGCCCCCTTTTGATCAGGATTCTTCTATAGAATCTTCGATCAAACGGTTCAGTATTGGGAGCAGGCACCATCCAGTTCTCGTCTCGTGGCAAAGGAGGTAGTTGTTCACGGAGGCAATTGGCCATGTATTCCAGTTTCTCCTCCAATTCCTGGCCCTCCATGAGAAGTATAATATACAGGTTGTGTCTTGGTTCACTCTAAGGACAAACAGCTTGTGGTGCACTCACTGGGAGCCTCTCTGATGGGGGTCCCCAGGGCATGATTTGTAGCAGAGTTTGGGAGCTACCCTATAGGAGCTGCCCTCCAAAACCTAGGTGGGAGTGAAGGGAGCTTTGAACACCTCTAGCTTCACCTGTTACAAGCAACAACAACACTTCCAATCAAAATGTTGTCTAAGCCACTTCTGGTGTTTCACCTTGATCAAAGTGTCAACACTCTGAACTTCCAGCAGCAGGAGCAGATTTTCCATGGCAACGCCCTGCCTTGGCTTGGGCCAAGCCTTTCTTTGTTTTGGAAACCCTAATACCAAGTCCTCACACTTCTCCCCTGAAACTCTGTTAGGGCTGGTGAAATAAAAAGGTCTAAATGAGGAGGCAAGATTTAGCAGAGACTCTTACAGGATCTTCTGACATCCTGAGAGTCAAATCCGCTGGATGAAAAGCCTGCTCTTTGGAGCATGTCAACTGGTTCTTTCTGGTGCCCTCAGAAGAAGGTTCACGCAACTTTCTTGTTTTCTGGACTTGACTTCTATTACATGACATACTCCTAGTTTATACAATGGGCTGGGGGAAAGTAGACGTTAGGAAAGGAGAAGTGGAGAATAAATATTTTCTCACTGATTCCAGGGGCGTCACTGGCACATTCAAGAAACTTGGTTCCTTAAGAAACAAAGCCGCCAGCCTCCATGCCCCCCTCCATCTGTGACAAGGACACTTGGCCTTCACCACCTTCACCTCCAGAACAACTCAATGACCCTCACTTGAAGGACTGCTTTTACAGCCTTCAAGTGGTTTGTGCCTCAAGCCAACTGAAAAAGTCTTAAGAGACAGGTTTTTAAAATGTTAAATCTAATGAAGAAAACCAGAGCTCGTTAGAAGGGAGGTTAATAAACCAATTAAGGTGGAATGATCAATTGTTTGAGGCCTAAATTCTTGAATGTCACACTAAGGTGGGTTTTCCAGCCTGCTTTAAAAAAGCCTGGCCACATTTCTGGAAGCAGATCTTTTTATTACAGTGCTTTCAAAACTTGGTCTTCCCATGGGACACTCTGGTAGGGATAGCTCTCCCTGCTCCGTCTTAGTTTATGGAATATATGGGACAAATTGAACTGCTTTTGGCCAGCTGTCCGTGAGGAGTATTCAGGAATGTCAGAGTGCTCAATAGATGTGTCTTAAATTGAAGGGAATGGAATTAATTGGAGCTAGATATAAACATATAGATTCTTGTACTTCTACTCATGAACATTGTATTGATGTTCAAAGACCAGCCAGAAGATCTGGGTCCTAGGAGCCACCTGCTCTGCCTCTGACTCTCTGTGGGACCTCAGTATGTTTATCATCCATCTGGGCCTCATTTCTCCATCTGTTCCTCCCATTCCTTCTCTAGAACTCTAAGGTCCTAGAAGACCCTCTTGGGCCTCGAGGGAGCATGTGCCTCACTCTGAGTATGACTGTGATGAAGCAACAGATGAAAGAGACATTCTAGAAAGGAACTCAAAGGTCATCTCGCAGTCAGATGTAGCTAACTTATCCCTGCTGGGTCCCAATGACGAAGGCCACAGCATGTGTTGTGTACCACCACGCGGCTGTGGGTCCAGGACATTCAATAAATGTGTCCTGTTGAAGATGGTGGGAGCCCAAGGGAAAGCAAGGGACCCAGGAAGGCGCCATTCATTTCACAGTCCTGCCAACTCTTTCCAAGAGAAATAATGGCTGTAATATTTTTTTGTAAAGGGTTGGCTGCTTACAGCAGCTGTGTGCTTGTTCTCGGAAATGGAATTTATTTTCTTTCTCACCAGTGGCCTGGAATGCCTGGCAAAACTAAGTTTTAGGAGGCTAGGACTAGTTAATGATGGATTTAAAGATATCATTTGGGGCCCATTCTCAGGGCAACATAGTGAAAGTTGAACACGGGACTCTAGTTCCTGCATGGCTGTGTTAGTCTGATGGCCACCGAGGGATGCCGTCTCCTCTTGTCATGTGGAAAAATACATGCTTCAATTTCAGGAGTAGGCCCCAGGCTCCTGCCTGCCACATATGAAGACTTTCACTGTGAAACTTTTAATTTTGGATGATTTTTCAGGAAAAACTATTTGCCATGTTGGGTCAAGAATCCCCAATTGATCATTCCACCATATCATGAGGACATTAGCAGCCAGAGCAAAGGTGCGAGGGCTCCGACTCACCCGGCTTCCTTTGTCTCCAGGTGGTCCGTGTAAACCCTGCAATAAATCAGAGAAATGGAGACACACTCATGAGAAAACACAGGACGGTCAGAAAGGCCTTCCTTCCAAGGCTCATAAAGCAATTTACTGATGCTGAATTCACTGCAGACAGGTTTAACTGTCTGCATTTTAGAGGAAGGGGCCAAAGGAGAAAATTGCTTAAGTAACCTGACCTAGAGACAAATGATGAGTTATGGGCAAAGCCAGGGACAGAGTTTTGATTCTTGTCCATAGCCAACGTCCCAGCCTGTGGTCATGGTCTTCCACTATCATTTATGCTGATGAGTGGTGGGGTCAAGGACATGGTTGGGGAGCAGTGAATTCTCCCAGCAGAAGAAAGTCCACATTGCTATCCTGCCAGGTTCTCATTGGGAAAAGGATTCAACAGCTTCTCAGACCCTCTTTTCAAGGTGCAAAATACCATCCACTTCTTCAGCTAGGGGGGATGAATGAATGCAAGGCAAATACTTGCCTGTAGTTGCCTATGTAGCCCAAAGAACACTGCCTGGGCAACCTACCACAGATGTATAAGCCTTCAAGTGGATGGGAAACCACAGTTGTGGCTCTGTTGGGCAGACAATGAACTTTTTTAACAAAGCAATGGGAAAACATGCTGCAAATGGAAATCCAATCTATTGTTTGAGGCCCAGCTCCCTTGGGAGAAGTGCTCTGTCATGAAGCATCTTATTGTATTACAGGGATTTGGGTTTGATTCTGCCACTGCCAAGGATCTGAAGCTCCTTGAGTTATGGGCATGTTTATCTGTGAGCTCCTGCTGCAGCTAACACAGAAGCTTATGGTGGAAAGGGCCCCAGACGTGGCTGTTACAGCAGATAGTCTACATGGCTGAGGATTTGCTACAACAGGGGCCATGCATCCTGGCGTTTTGCTCCAAACAGTGACCAGCAGAAAGTTCTACTGCATCGACTATTTGGCTGTGGGCAGCTCCCTCTGTCATAGATATGAGAGTTCTCATTTGGCCCCAGATTTGTTGTTCAAAGCTCTAGGTTTTCTGTTTTGACAATGCTTCTGTTGGAGGAGGGGAAGAAGAGAAACCCTGATTCCAGGAGACTTACAGGAAGCCCAGCTGCCCCTGTTGGTCCTGTCATCCCAGGGTCACCTTTGCTGCCCTGAAACAGGAGAAGGAAATCATGAGCCTCCTGACATGATAACTACCTTCCATCAGCCATTTCCTATTTTTAGAAAACAGCAGAAATTTCTCCAGCTCCCCAAAGGAGCCAGTGGGGAAGCAAGACTGTGCAGAGGGTGGGGTGTGGCTGGTGGTGCTCTGGCCCAGCGAGCAGGCTTGGAAACCCCTTCTTACTCTCCCTGCAGCCGCCCAGATCCTACGCCCCCAGGCACAGCAGAAGGGCTGAGCAGTGTCCTGGGGGTACAGGCTGGCCTGAAGCACAAGCCGGGGAGGAGAACAGGGAGCAGGAAATGGTGGTGGACAAGAAAGACAGGGATAAACAAAAGAGAAAGAGAACTTTTATGTTTTCTTTGAAGCTCCCCTCAAGTGTCACATCCTCAGAGAAGCCAATCCTGGTTTTCCCAGTCAGCTGTGACCTCAGAGAACTCTATGCTCCCTTCAGAAGCTTTCCACCCTGCCCACTCTACAGAGGTGGCCATGTCTCCCGCAGCATCCCCTGAGACAGATGGGCAGATGAGCATGGAGGAGAGCTGCTCGTGGCACAGAGCTCAACGAACAGATGCACTCAAAGACCCCACACCCTCGCTGGTCCTTCAGCCACCCTAAGCCCTGAACATGGAGAGACCGGGGGAAGAGCTGAGCAGAAACGACATTCAGCTCTCCTGCCGCCACTGAGCCAACACAATCCACCCTCACCTTTGTATCCACCTACACCATGTGGGGCTAGAGCACATGCAGAGAGTTATGTGACCAGTAGCCAAGGTCATATGGCCAGTAATAGTGGGACCCAAGACAAGTCACTGGCCTCCAACTTCTTGATGTTCCTCAGATTTTTCCAAACATCACCTGGCCCTCAGTTCCATGCTGTTTCTCTAGATCCTTATAACAAAGTTTAGGAGTGTCCCGGTGACAACAGTGCCTGAGCCTTGTCAGACTCTGAGTCCCAAAACTGACGCTGGGTGACCAGAAGCTGAGGTGGAGACAGCTTCCATTTTCTAGATCTTTCCAGGTCTCTGTCCACTCACAGCTACAAAATGGAGTTACCCCCGGCCTGCAGTTCCCTCCCACAGGCTGTTGTGAGGATCACTAGGAGAAGGGATGAGTGAAGGAATTTGCTCTGCCTTCAAGGAAGGGATGGTGGCTGTGACTTGAGGCTGATGCAGTAACTGTGTTGGGTCCCAGGCACCAGGACTGCAGGGCCTGAGGTTGAGGAAGGAGGGCTGCCCCTTCCTCCTGTTTGCCCAGGCTCCTCGCTCGGTGACACTCACCCTCTCGCCCTTTGGTCCTGCCGGGCCTGGAACTCCAATTGGTCCTGGAGTACCCTGTGAAGTTTAAAGACAGCAAAGGTGAGGGTCCTGAGGCCGGGGGAGCCTGGGAGCCCGCCCAAGGCTGGAGATGAGGAAGGCCCAGAGGCCCAGTTTTCAGGGTTGGCGAGGCCAGGCTCGGCCAGGGCAGCCAGTCAACTGGGCCATGTTCCTGTTTGGGTTTGAGGGCCTTGGGGAAGAGAGCGCCTCCCCACTGCCTCACGGCCAGATTCTTGGAATAAAACTCTTTCACTTCACAACCAAGCTTGCCAAGGCTGAAAACGGTAGGAGAATGGTTGCTTAGTTTGCTCCCAGAAGCACCTGAGAGGGAGTTGACCCCCTCCCAGAGGTGGGGGCCAGGGCTGGCACCCCTTGGCTGGCACAGCTCCACATGCAGCGGGAAGGTCTTCATGCCACAGAGACCGACGCAGATGCACACAGCCACAGAGACCGATGCAGATGCACACACAGAGGCAGGCGAGAGACAGGGTCATTCAGCCACCGCCCACCCCCACCCACCGCTACGCAGACCCCCATCCCTAGCCTTCAGCCTCTAGCTGGGGCCTTCTCTCCCCAGCTCCTGGCCCTGCGGAGCAGGCTGGATGGGAGAGTTAATTAGTATGCCTTGGGTGTTGCACTGACACTAGCCTGGCAGGAAGGTGGGTTATAAACACTCCTAACTCAGGTCTGCAGGGGAGCTGGGGGCGGCGGGAGCCGTGTTGCTTAGAGACGGAGCAGGACTTGCTAGGGCATAATTAAACCTCTTCTCCTGGCTCCCAATTTACAGCCTGACTAGATAAAGTCTCTATTTCTGAGCCTGCTAGTGTTTTGCCTCAGTGTTGGTATTTCCTACTCAGATAAGGATGTGAGGATGTGGGGTTGGACCTGTGGGCGGTTCCCGGTGCTCTGAGCATGTCTGTAAGAAGTGAAGCAAGTGGGAAAATGCTGATTTACTTTACATGGGGAAAAAAAAAGAGCAATTGAATGTTCTTGGTGCCCCTTCAGCAACTATAAGGGAAGAGCAAAAACTTATGGGCATCAATGACAAGAGCTCATCAGAAAATGAATGAAGCCAGATCAGGGGTGATGGTTAAGAACGGGACTCTGGAGTCAGCTGGCTGGCTTCAAACCCTGCCTCGAAGGGTGACATGCTGTGTGATATTGGACGAGTTGCTTAGCTTCTCTGAGGGTCAATTTTCTATTCGGTAAAATGAGGATGATAATGTTGGTGCCCACCTCCTAGGCTGCTGCCACGTTTAAATAAAAGAATCCATGCCAAATATTGGGCACTGTGTCAACACAGATCATGCCCCTGGCCCTGACAGGCCACCTGGGAAAGGTATCCTAGGTGAGAGAGGATGGAAGGAGAGGGACTATGTTGAAAGAGTAAAGCTGTAACAATACCTGGAAAATGGGTATGTTCTCCATACATAGGAGTCTATGGGCCAGCTCCATAAATGCATATGGTGGAGAGAGGCTCTGAAAAGACCTGTCATCTTGGGCAAATCACATTCCCTCTCAAAGCCTTGGTCTCCTTTTCTTTATGAGGACACCGAACAGGTACTCAGGAGGATGAAGCTGGGAGTAAGGTCACTCTTCTTGGTTCCTCCTGCTTCTGAAAGTGCTAGGCTTCTGTTGACATCAGTTCTGAGGCCCACCTCCAGGGCCCCAGGGAAGGCCTGTTCCAGTTGTGCTTTAATAGTTCCCTGTGCCCTGTGTGGATGTCCTCCCCTCCATGAACAAGCCCTTGCAAATTCTCTTCTCCTCCGAGTATCACTCCAGCAGCCTTATTAGAACCTCATCTTACATGGCCTCAGAAGCATCCTGCAAGTGCAGAATGGCACTCGCCAGCTGGAAGGCGTTGGGCACACATTCAGCCCTGGTTAGCAGGTGGGGAAGACCAGCCTCAGTGGTCCCAACGCCATGGTACGTGATGGACTTCATCAGGAATTGTGTGACAGCCAGGGGCACCACTGTCCTGCAGACCTCATGGGGCCCTCAGGGAGGGTGACTATGAGGTGGAGGGGAAGGAAGCTTTCCACTGGTGCTTCAGTTGTTTGTCACGAGAAGACAGGCCAGGTGTTCTCTAGTCAAGAGCAGTATGATGCCTGTTTTTTGGAAACAGGACGTATGGAGAAAGAGGGGACCTGACTCATTTGCTCTGATATTGGGTTGCTATGGTGCTCTAGACAGTGACAAGTGTGGTTAGAATACGTTCAAAAAACACTGACCTGGGACTGGCCACTATGCTCCTAAATGCTACACCTGCCTGCACTCTTCAATGTTGTCCCCACCCCAATACACACCAGACTGGTGGCTGCAGAGGAGTAGGAAGCCCTCATGGGCAGACAGGAGATGAACAGAGCTCACAGCATGAAGACAACACAGCATGACGGGCACATATAGACATTGTTGTGTTTGGTGGGGACGGGTCATGGCCCAAACCCCCAGGGCTGGGCTTCCAGGCTGAACTCAGCATTCCTTCCAGAATGGGGTTAGTGCTGCTGAAGTGGCCCACACCCAGTAGCTTGGTAGTCAGGTTGGAGGTCCCTGGACACAAACTTACACAGGCGAATTGAGACTAAGGTCAGACGTCTTTGTTCAAGAGGCCTGAATAAGCACTTCTGAACTGAGCATGGACTACAGCTTTCTGGTGTCAGTGGTGGGATAAGGCTTGACTCACTGGGAAAACAAGGCCACAGTGGAACAAACAAGAGGTATCACAGGCCGGGGGTGGGGACGGGGTGGAGTGAGGGGTAATGGAGAAGTGACACTCACCGGTGGCCCAGGCCTGCCGTCCAAACCTGAAGCTCCCTGGACGAAGGGAACAGTTTGACCAAAAGAAGGGGAAGGGAGGAACGGGAGGGAAAAAAAAGGAATGGGGAGGGAAGAGGTGAGTGAAGCAGTGACTCTGGACAGACATAAATGCTGGTAATCAAACAAAACGGGAGAAGTAAGCTTGGGAGGACAGGTGATGGTATTTACATGGACATCAACGAAAACATGGAGACACCGAGTACAGGGTGGCCTGCAGCCGAGCAGGTTGGGGTGGAGACCACTCGATGGCTGTTCTGATCTCCACACACCCTCTCCCCTCTCAGAATCCCTCTCCCAAGGGGCCCCTGTGTTCTGGGGAAGGGGATACAGGCAATGAGTCATGGAGACACATGTGGAACTAGGTCTGGTGCTTCCTTCCCAGGAGCATGCTGATGTGGAGGGTGGGACCTGGGTGAGGATGGTCTCCTTGGCCTCTTTTGCAGACCTGATGACACCAGACCAGGCTGGGGGATCCCCAAGAGGCCCGCACTGAGTTATAGCACCTGGTTTTGAAACCAGGGCAGAGGCTGGCCTACTTCTACTTCAGCTGGGTGGGAGGAGTTGGCTCTTGAATGATACTAATGATGCCTGGCATTTCTCTGGCATTTTACAGTTTGCAAACTCAACACCCACTCAATCCATTCATATGCTGCCAGGTAAGGGGTCTTTTATAGAAAAAGGCTTTGAGGGCAGTTGACTGGGACAGAGGTCTAAAGCCGTGTATTCTTGGGAGCAAACTGGTAGGCAGGTAAAAAGCTTAAAGACCGCTCTCTCTCCACTGTCCTCACTCCTTGCTGCCCAGCATCATATATGTCAGCAATGGAAGCTCTTAGTCCAATGCTGGGTGAAGAAGCTCTCCCTGCAAGCCACCTGGAAAGGCCAGGATGAAAATTTCCCATGATTCCAATGTGCCGAGCCAGGGAGAAGGCAGGGGGGCCACTCTAGCTCAGTAAGGACTAGGTTCTTGAACACTGCCTCCAACTGGGCCTCAGACATGAGTGTCGGCTTCAGGATTGTAAAGGTGGGAGAAAGCACCCAGGAGAGGGACAGAAGGGAGCTGCTTCCTCCTGAGGAAAGGGTGTTGGATATAACTATTCCAGAGGGACTCAATTCTCCATTTTAGGACCACCTAATTCTTGGACTGAGTCAGAATCGACTTGACGGTAGTGGGTTTGGTTTTCTTTTTCTTTTTTTTAAATTTTTGAACTGACTTTGACTTACCAGCCTGAAAGCTATGGTTCTCAAACTTGGCTGCGTATTCGAATCTCTCAGGGAGATGTTAAATAGTACAGATGCCTGGGCCCCACCCTAGACCATTTTAATCAGAGCTTCTACGAGTGGGGCCTGGGTAGTGGTATTTTAAAATGTTCCCAGCCAGAGTCAAGAACTACTTCTGTAGGTCAAATAAGGGAAACTCATGAGGATATTTCTGGAAAAACAGGCTGCCACCAATGAAACCTCCAGGTGAAGCCTAAAAACAGAACTTTAGCTAAATATCCACATGCTGTGTCTATATGCAGGAGTCCCTGGGTGGGGCAAATGGTTAAGTGCTTGACTACTAATGATAAGGTTGGCAGTTCAAACCCACCCATAGGTACCTTGGAACAAAGGCCTGGTGATCTGCTTCTGAAAGGTCACAGCCTTGAAAACCCTATGGAGCACAGTTCTGCTCTGACACACGTGGGGTCATCATGAGTTGGAGCTGACTCGATAGTAAATGTTTTTTTGTTTTTGGTCTGTGCAGCATTAATACTGAGTTTTCTTGAGACTTCTAGAACAGAGGGCACAAACTGGAAAATTTCAGGCCACAAGTGGATCATTGAAATATCTTGCACAGTCTGTTAGAAAGTGAGGCGATTTCACATAAAACGCCAAATTTCCAGCTTCCCTTGAAAAAATGGGAAGATCCAGAAATACTGAGCCCCCATTTCTCCAAGGCAACAGTCAGCTAAGCTGAGAAGGGGCTGTTCCCCTTAAGAAGGGACACATGGTCTTCTCCACAGCACCACAGTCCTCACCACTCACTACTGTCTCCCTGAAGTCCATGTTAATTGCCGTTTATGAATATGCTTGTTCTGTTGTTTTCTTAAGCTGGAAAAGAAGTATTTCTCTGTACCCATGTCTCTATCAAAAGCTGGAAAATAAAAGACAGGGCACTTTGTCTTTTTCCACTGGCATGTTTCTTGTTTATATTACCTACTTGGCCTCCATGGTATTTGAATTTCAACCCCTGACTGATTTCTCCAGTGTTCATCAGGGTGATTGGGGTCATGAAGGTGGACAAGGAGAGATTTGTGGTTGAGTGGGGGCAGGAAGGCTCTTTTAATAGTAAGGAGTTCTTAATCATTCCGGACACAGCTTAAGACATGGGAAAATGTCTGCTAAAGTCATCAGTTTTCTGTAGTCTGTCAAGCGAATCAGCTTCTTAAATATTCCGACATTTGCTGCATTAATGAGGGTGTAATTATACCTTTGCTTTTGCTGTTTGGTTGCTGTGATTATATTAACAAGACCTTCAAGCTCTGCCAAGCTAGGGTAATTGGGCTTCCCATTGTTCCCCTGGCTCTTGACAGCTTCCTGGGGTGGGAACTGGACTTCAGCCCGGGACAGAGGAAGCTCAAGCTATTGGAGAGAGCCCCTTTGTGAGTCTGCAGCCTCTGGCCTGGCTTGGCCACAGACTTCTCATGTGACCTCAGGTGACTAGCTTTCTTCTGTGGGCTCATCAGTAAAATGATTAGATGGATCGCTACAATCTTCTCCAGCTCTTGAAAAACAGTTTCCAACCTCAGTGGGGTGGGAGGGAGGATGGAGCCCAGGACTCCAAAGATAGGTGGTGGGATTTGCTCACCTGGACACAGGTGAGGGAGTGGAGAGACCATCAGCCCGCTGGAGCTTGGGGTAAAGGGATCACCTAGCCCCCACACCTGGAAATGTGGATACCTTCTAAACAGCACCTGCCTCTGAGTTGGTACCTCCAGCCCTAGGCAGCTGCAGCCAGAGATCACCGGGAACCCAGGATCTCAGTGACTTAGCCTGCTGGGACCAAAGGATCTGACCCTTTACAAGCTTGTCTGCTGTGACCAGTGCTTAGGAGCAGAGAGCAGGGGTTCTCTGGGGTCCCTCTGGGAAAAAGAGGAGACAGATGGAGAATGTCCTATTGTCCCTTTGCTCCCAAGCCATCCCAGCTTGGCCCCCACAAGGCAGATTTTTATTACCTTTGAATCAGGTGCAAGCAGAGTCTGACACTGTTCTCAGGCCACTTCTGGATTTCTAGCTGGGTGTTCCTTGGGGGCGAGGACCCTGTCTTATTGAGCTTTGCATTCCCCCTGAGCCTAGGCCAGGGCCTGGTCCAGAGGGGCCCTCAGTGAGAGAATTAGAGCCTATGGTCTCGCTCAGGTTGGAAAACACCACCACATGGAGCTGGAATGCTGAGAACTTTAGCAGCTTCTCCCAGGTCCCTGCCCAGCATCCCCAGTCCTGTCAGGACCACCCAGGCTCCTGGACCCCCTGGGTTCCTCACAGCAGTCTGGTCTGAGACACCGCTGGGTCTAAGATACTTACGGGCAATCCCAGAGGACCTCGGTCTCCTTTTTCTCCCTGGACACCCTTCTCTCCTTTTGCTCCATCTAGTCCTGCTTCCCCCTGAAGGAAAGACAGAGGGGGAAGATCATGGGAAGAGTTTCTCCCAGACAACTCATTTTTACATTCTGGGGTGGAGAGGTGGGGCAGATAGAGGAGGGAAGAGGTAGAGGTGGGTCGTCCAGGGGTGGCTGGCTGGGGACTCCGAGAACCCCTGAATTCTTAGCCTGGCTCCACCGCAGTTCTCCTGCAGTATCCCTGCAGTCACTTTGAGGTCCCCAAAGGAAGGAGGGATGGGCGGAGTGGGGACAAGCCCACAGGGCGGTGCCAGGTCAGGCTTTGGCACAGGTGAGGAGGACCTGACCACCTGCAGGAGAACTGGGACCCTGCAGAGATCAGCTGGCGATGCCCGAATGCCACCATCAGAGCTCTGAGGACCCCAAAGTAGTTGGGAGAAGAAACTGTCCTATGATCCCTTGAAGAGTCAAGGGCAGGGGGCAAAGGCCGTGCCATACCAGCAGCCTCCAGCCCCTTATCCCTTTGAAATGCTTGGGGGAAGATGGGGAGAGCCACAGCCCAGCTCTCTGTCTCCCACTTATACTTCGGTGAATGAAGGGCCTGGAGCAAGTTAGATGGGAAAGAGCTTTCTTCTTTTGCTAAGAATCTAACCTGTCACTCTGTGGAGTTGATTGATGGATGGGAAAACTCTGAATCCAAAGCATGCCAAATGCCAATGACAGGTGTTAAAGGGACCACAGGAGCTCATTCTGCCCTGATGGAGCCCACATGATTCCATCTGGGGATGAGGATCAGTGGGACCACCTGCCTCGGAAGCTCTTTCCCTCTGACCCAGCCTCTACCCCACCCCCTTGCACCTGTCACATGATCTCTTCTTACCTTTGGTCCAGGAACACCTTGGAGGCCCTGCATATGGAATCAAAACAGGGTGCATTAGAACTGCATTTTCTAGTTAAATCAACTTCCTTGTCCACACATTGGGCCGCAAAAGAGCAAGGGCTTCGGGTATAGAGGCTGGTCTGGGGTCCCTGCCCCAGACAGGTGGCAGGGAATGCTATGGGGGCTTCCCAGGGTGGGAGCTGCAGGGAAAGACTCTGATTGATCCGAAGCTGGGAGTCTGAGCCAGCTTCCTCCAGGCAGCGACAGACAGAGGATCTCTCTGTGGCCCCCACACTAACCCAGAGTCTCATGAAGGGGACTCGGAGGTAACATAGCATAAATTAACTAATATATGCACAGTACTTAAACAGTGTCTGGCACAAAGTAAGTTTCAATAAGTGTTGTCTATCGTAACTACTAGAGGGCAGTGGTGGTTCAGTGACAGAATTCTCGCCTTCCATGCAGGAGACCTGGGTTTGATTCCTGGCCAATACACTTCATGTGCAGCCACCACCCTTCTGTTAGCGGAGGCTTATGTGTTGCTATGATGCTGAACAGGTTTCAGTGGCGCTTCCAGACTAAGGTGACTAGGAGGAAAGGCCTGGTGGCCTACTTCTGAAAACCAGCCAGTGAAAACCCTATGCATCACAAGAGTCTGATCCACAGCTGATCATGGGGATGGTGCGAGACCAGGCAGTGTCTCGTTCTGTTGTGCATGGGGTCGCCATGAGCTGGGGGCTGACTCGATGGCAGCTAACAACAACATCATCCTTACTACTACTATTATTTCTACCAATGACAGTGGCTGACACAGTGAATCCACAGAGGCACATATCAGCATCTGTTGGGTTAGGATGCTTGGGTGCTCACGAGGTGTAAGCAAAGGGCCCCTTTAAAGGAGTTGTCTTACCATTGGTAACCATCCAGCGAGGCTGGGTATAAATGGGTCATTTCTATTCTAATCCTAGTCATCCTGCCAGCTGACTGCAGGAAGGAGGAAGGGTAACAGATGTCTAATGGCCAAGAGTTAAATGTTGGGCAGAACCGGTGACGAAGTGACTCCTGCAGGTGGTAGGACCAGACCTTGGGGCCTGGCATTCCGTCCAAGTGTTGCCAGGGAACTGGGCACTGCCAGGGTCCCTGGTGTAACTGGATGGTGCCTGTTTAACATGGGCGGGAGGAGGAGAAGGGAGGGGTTTATATATGAGAATCCCCCTCCCGCACTGGGAGGAGAAGGTAATAGTGACTGAGGTTGAGCCCAGTGACTGCCGTGGGGAAGTGACATTAGAGACCTAACCACGGTGAAATGAAATGCTGAAAAGTCATCCAAACTTACCGGAGGTCCAGGAGGGCCCTCTGGCCCTGGTGGCCCAGAAACCTGGAAGCCAAAGGGGAGATGGTCAGCCTGCTCCCTGTTACACTCAGTGTCTTTCCTCCTTACACGGCCGGGGCCCAGCTGGGACTGCAAGTCCAGAGGAGGACAGGACTGTCCAGCAGTGGTCAATCAGTTACTCCCCAGCACACTGTCTCCCAAACTAAGGGCTAGAAAAGGTCAGAAACTCATGGAATCCTATTGGCCCGCACAACATCGAAAAAAAAATGTTACCCAGAAATGTCCCCCAAACATCTGTTTTCCAGATTTTCTTCAAAAAACCAGGACCTCTGGCAATCCTAGGCTCTTGTTCATACATAGCAACAATGAGCTGGAGCTGATTAGGTTTTCCCCTCTACATGAAGCAGGAGATCACTGGTTCACCCTAGTCTCTACTGCTCCCTGTTGTCTTTAACCTGGACCTCTTGCATTTATCTGTTGTTTGCCTGGCCCTTGAAGGCACTTGAATTTGAGACCCTGGCTTAGAGGAGCAGAGACTGGTTAAGCGGAATGCAGGGAGGCTGAGATGTTTCTGAAGAACATTCCTCCAGTCCCCCAGGTTTGTAACAGATGGACAGGGACTGTTGGACTCTATCTTGCTTGAGGGCAGGGCAAGAGGAACTAGAGCTATGTTAGTAGAAGAGATTCAGATGGACAAGGAAGACGGAGGAGCCCAGGGCTCTCTTGTTCTCTACAAAATCCCTGTCTTTGGTGAAGATGGACATCCATTGTCTATAGTTGGCCACCCAAGAGGCAGGAAGGAAACCCACCTGCTCCTTTCTGACCTGTTCACCCCACCTTGGCTTTGGGGCTCTCCTCAGTGCCTTGTCTACCCAGGGATAGAATCCCCTGGATAGTGCCCAGGCAGGGGCCCGTCTGTCAGGCCACCACAGAGGGAGTTCCTGCACTGGACAGACAGGTGGATACTAACATCCCTTGAACTCAGACTTTTCAGTTCCATAATGCTATAGTCTCCTCGTTGGGGAACTAAATCTTTGGAAACTTCCTTCTTAAAAGAAAAGTTTATTTTTTTTATATATAAAAAAGTAATACATATATCCTGATTGTGGTGGTGGTTATATAAATCTCTATGTATTTTAAAATTCATAGAACTGTATACTTTACCCCAAATTCAATTTTACTGGGTGGATTGACACAGTGGCTACAACAATGGGCTCAAACATAGCAACGATTGTGAGGATGGCATAGGACCGGGCAGTGTTTCGTTTTGTTATACATAGGATCGCTATGAGTTGGAACTGACTCAATGGCCCCTAACAACAACAACAATAATTTAAAAAATTAAAAAGAAATGCAGATGCATTAAAATGTTTTCTAAATTAAAAAAAAAATTGAAAGAAGGAAAAAGTCTCAATCACTTAGTCTACCTAGCGGATAAGTATTGCTAATATTCTGCTTTACTTCCTTCTGTTGTTTTTTGATGCATAAATTGTATTTGAACATATGTATACACTTATGACGATATTATAGATGTGGTTTGGTTCTCTGCTCCTTTTTGCTTAACATGAAACCCATTTTTTCCGTGTTTTGTATGTTTCTCACAAGCCTCCTTTTAATAGCGATGCGTTATTTGAGTAGAATGAAAATTAGTTACCACCTAGGTACTAGCAAGGGCTTTGAGCAGAGCTTGGCAAATGAAAAGATCTCAAGCATGATGACTATTCTTACTCTTAGTATTATTACTATAAGTTATTTAATCATTTTCTTCTTGCTAGGAATGTAGACTATTTCTAATTTTTACTTTACTTCTGGGAGAAACATCTTTGTGTCTAATGCTTTTTTTGAAGGTAGGATAATTTCTTTAGGACACTATCAATTTCTACATAAGTAACATAGATTAAGGAGCCCTGGTGGCTAACGGAAACGTTGGCGGTTGGAACTCACCCAATGGCTACGTGGGAGAAAGACCTGGCGATCTGCTCTCATAAAAAGTACAGCCTAGAAAACCCTACAGGGCAGTTCTACTCTGTCACTGTAAGTTGAAATCGACTTGATGGCACCTAACATTAATAACAACATATGTGTTATATAAACAGGTCTATTTTACAAGATTCAGATGGGACTTGATGACATTAATGTGCAACCAGGGCCGAGGGACCTCGCTGGGACTGAGAAGGCTTGGTGGTCCCTTCCTGCACTTGGAGGAGGCACCTGGGCCCCAGATCCTCTCAGCTTACATCCTCTCCCTCATGGACCCTTGATGTCTGCTGCTTTCCTGGTGTTCTCCCTCAAGCCCACAAATATGCCCGATTCTCTCTCACGCTATGAAAATCTTGCCTCCATCCTATCTCTCACTCCACTCTTCTCTCTCTCCTCTTCCCTTCACCCCCACACGTCTAAAAAGAAGAGTGCCTCTGTCTGGAAAGCCTACGTCTGAATCTTCTAGGCAAACTCCTACAACATCTTCAAAACTCTGCTCAGATGGCCTGTCTCTGTGAAGCTCCCCCTACTCCCTGAGTTGCTGCCACTCCAGTGCCCATTACTCAGGACAGCTCTATGCTCTTTAACGCACATATGGAGTTGGATAACCGCCACCACAATCAGGAGCTGCACAGGGGCAGTTCTACTTATTTTCCTCTCTCCAGACTCCAGAACCGGGCCTGGAACATGGCAG